CTTCCCACAAGTTGGAATCTTATAGCATTAAAGTCACCTCCAAGACACCAAGGTCCTTTCCATAGTCCCCTTATATTGGCCAGTTCTTCCCACAACTTCCTTCTCTCTTTGTAATCATTTGGACCATATACATTGGTAAGCACCCATTCAAACCCATCCTCCACTTGTTTAAACTTCAAGGAATTTGAAAATTGGCCTATTAACTCTTCCTGACCGATGAGTACTTCATTCTTCCACATTGTGACAACGCCCCCCACAGACCCCCAAGAAGGCAGAGCCGCCCAGCTAATCCCCCTACCTCTCCAGACATTCCTTGCCCACCTAATGTCAAAATCTGCTCTCTTGGTCTCCTGCAAAAGTACCACATCTGGGTCTGTTTTCTTGATGGCCTCTTTTATTACTGCTCTCTTCCTAGCACTTGGTCTCTTTTATTACCACATCTGCTCTCTTGGTCTCCTGCAAAAGTACCAGCATCTAACTATCTTCTTTCCCCTTAGACCCTCCTGCCCTCAGTTATTCCTCTTCCTTCTTTCTCCTTTAACCTTCAAAGTTCTATCTCCTCCCACCTCCTTTAGCAGCCTTTCAGCCTCACTCACTCTTCTCCTTTTAGATTTTGCTTCTTCTTTCTTTGTTTTCAAAAATACCATGAGAGCATTTGGACCTTTCAATTTGCACCCCAGTTTTTGTACAAAACCCGTCACAGAATCCTCACTAATTACATCTCTTACACTTGACTTTCTACTCTTCTATCTCCTTCCTCCTCAGAACCCTCTACTCCAACTCCCTCTGACCCTTCCTTTTGACCGTTTTCCACCACTGCTTCATTTAACAGACACTCTAGGATTTCCAGGATTCTTTTCTTTTTTTCTGTTTCTCCTTCATTCCCTACTTCTCTCTCCTGACCCTCCCTGTCGCTTCTATTTTCTCTCACCCCATCCCCCGACCCACGTGCTCACTTAAACAATCACGTGGGTAGGGATTCCTCTTTCTGGTTGAGCCGATCGGTCCACCCACCGGTTCAGATGACCCGGCCTGCAGAAATCTCCCTTTCTTAACCACGTCAGCAAAGGTGTCTTGTCCCTTTGAATTACCAGCTAATTCAAAAAATTTTAAATTTATTTCTTTTAATAGATTTCGTGGCTTTTGGTTCTCTCCCACCGACTTTTCAGCTTCCTTTCTAAGCTGCCTCCTATGTTTAGTCTTACCCTCCAGCTGTATGCCCCTAGTAATCCAACCCTCCACGTCAGCATCGTCTTCTACCTTGGGTCTTTGTCCCCACAGCTCTGTCTCCACCTCTGAAACTAGCCATACTTTAAACCATGTACCTTCAGCAAGAACCTCTATTGTTCTTGGGAGCGATTCCAGTCTCACCCCGACCATCCTAACCACAGCAGCACGAAAATCTTGCAGATGGACTTCCTCCATTTCTCCGCCCAGCAGCTTCACAATATTTCCCAGATTTGCTTCACTCCA